AAGACGACGAACACTTACACGGCATGAAGGATTGTAAGCCTGCTTTATGAACTGCTTAACTTAATCTNTCGTACACCCATGGGCAAATAGGGGACGCTAAATTGACCAATCAGAGCGCGCGCTTTACTTTGGTTATGTTATAACATTTCTTCTCTCTCTTTGATAATCATGGAAAACTGATGACATGCTTCCTACTTTGCTTTCAAAATCTGTAGAAGTTATGATTGAAAAAATAATTCTTATGGGATGAATAAAATAATTCATATTAGAGTGTGAAAGGATAAGTTGACTAAATTCATTCGTTTAATAATCGATGTTTACGGCGAAGGGAAATAACTGACCGAATATTCAGTACAACAACAACAAAAAAATACACCGAGTTTACAAACATTTATACCAGCCCACGAAATCGATGCAGAAATAAGTAACTCAACATTAAATTGAGTCAGAGCTAAAGACCAAAAAAAAATTAGTAAAAGGAACCTTTGACTTCTATACATTTTATTAAAAATAACCCGAGGGCTGTCCAAGGCTACATTTAGTCTTGAGACTTTTCGGCTGAGATATTTCAAGCAAGCTCCTTGAACATCGAGCTCAAATACCTAGTCACACGAAACATTTAGAATTCTACTGTCGTGAAAATCTCGGTGCCAAAAATGTGTGGGAATCAATGACAGTAGGAGTTGTAACTTCCATCTGGTTAAAAAAAATGTCACTTGACTCAACTTACTTTTTTTCGTAGTGGCCTGACGCATGGATGCATTTCACCCTACATTACCGTAATTTGAAGGCACTAACGAAACCTTTCTCTTGTTGATTACTTAAAGCGTGTTCTTTCGCATAAAGCTTGTGAAAAAGAGAAAATAATTAACAATTATTGGACGAGGTTGAGCAAAATATCGTGATTTTTGCGTGGCGTGCAGAACAATTATATGCCGAAGCTGAAGGCTGAGGCCGAATAATTGATCTGCGAGACACGGACAAATCACGATATTTTGCGATAACCGAGTTCAATAATNTCTCACAAACAGGAAAGTATAGTTCTGGTCGTCACTCCATATACAGTTGTTCTAGCCATGGACCCAGATTTGGCGGAGGACAAGATATTTACATTGACAGCTCAAGTTCTTACTCGAACCTTGGATTCACCTACAGTCCACCATCTGGCCACAGATATGGCAGTTCCTTCGCCCAATCATTCCTGGCAGGAAGTTACCGATTTCAACCGGATGAAGTTGAAGTGTTCTATGAAACTACTCGAAACAAACGAATTAAAGTAATGAGGATATTTGAAATTCGTCTTTACAATCGAGGCAGGCGTTTCGGTTTGGGTCATGGCCACAAAGATAGTTTGAACTGATATTTATATAAGAGCACTGTTCTGTTCAATTATACGAAAATGATCATATTGAGTCGCTAGAGAGAGTACACAAATTGATCAAAGTGACACTATGGTAAATTCGTGAGTACTTAACTTTCAATGATTCTGTGATTTCAAGAGGAGGAATTAACTCAACTTCCCCACAAGAGTCCTTCCTAGTCTGATCCGCCATCTGTAATAAGATGCATTCTCTTCCATGCGTCAATGGCTGTACTTACGCCGTGGAAGTTGCATAACGAGTCCCCACATTACTACACTAAAAGAGCTCTTTCGGTTTGTGTGTACTTTGCTATAAGAGATATGCTGGAGCTGCATGGTTGAGTGTTGATAAAGAAACATCTCTTTTACTGGTGTACTGAATATTTTGTTCAATGTTTCGTGGTTGCGTTCAAATGCCATACAACTGGATAAATATATACTAAGTACTGACCCCCAGGTGCGAGAAACAGCCGGCTTGTGAATATAAGAGACAATTAACTTTAAGCAGGAAAATGTTACCCAAAGTCATCTCGTAAAGTCTGATAACAAGTTTCTGAGAAGAGTTTATCCACAGGCAAGAATGGCAAACTCCAACTGGTACCATTAATCTGGGAAACTTCTCAACAAGCCTTCCAAAGTTTGTGCTATCATGAGTATAAAAATGGCAGTTGGTTATTTCTAAGAACAGTGTTCGTATACATGGACAGGCAGGTCTAAAATCTTGCTCATTATCCACTAGAAGTTGATAAATGTACATAAGACGTTGTAGTGGATTTTGAAAATTTGACGTTTCAAAGGTCGACAGGACGCCGAATCAAAAAGACGCAGAACTATGTCTCGAGATATCAACATTTCAAACTCGAGCCTGTTTGATAACACTGATAACTCCAGTTTGATAATACTGAACCAAAGATGCTCTATGTGTCTGATAAAACTTTCACATCCAGAGTCTGTCCTAATAAAAGCGCAACCGAATAAAGTTACAAAATCGACTTGGCAGAAATCACTTCCGTTCCGACTGGCTCATATCAGTAACAAACTTAGAAACGCACTTGATAAGCGCATTTATCAAGTTAAAAGGCTGAAACAAATTATTATTCTTAACGAAAGAGTTGGGCTGAATATTTCACTCAATTCCCAAGCATACTGTTCTCTCGGTCCCGCTGAACAAGACCTGACACATCATTAGGTTATAACTAACAGATTAATCAAAACAAAGCTAGACATTTGCCCAGTCATTTGGTTTCTCTTTCTCTCATTTAAACTATTGCTAATAAAACTTCACTCATTCACAGATCTACATAACCCAGAAAATCATCTATGTTCAAGTTTTCTATCCACAAAGAGCATTGATAACTTGATACTTTTTAGTGTTAACACTTTGGGTTCTTGGGCTGTCTCTTTTGTAGAAGGGAAATTCCATATCATCAGAATTCCAAGAAACTACTTCAGACACCCAGAAATGTATTCTAAGATGGTATCAACCAAGTCCTCGTAATTCAAAGATTTACCTTCAAGGTAAAGTCGTTGGTAAATGTTCAGTAATGTTTGATGCATCCTGTTCTTCTACTTACATCTCTGTTTGGACTTCTCCGCTGAAAAAGATGAATTCATGTTTAGTCCAGAAGCCAATTCTTTGTGACCACCTATGAATCAAAATATTTCCGCTTGAGCTGAACCTTCCTTACAAGAAAGAACTAACGAACACTCTCTTGTATAAGTGGATGCCGGACCACGAGATCTAAAGCGTAGTAAAGTTCTCAACAGAACACTCTCGTGACTAGTTTAGCGTCCATTTTGAGGCGACTCTTAATTAAAAGTTGAAAATATGTCTACTAAATAATACGGATAGATATCACTACGATTTAATCTGACCGCAAGTTGGCCATTGAAATCTGAAAAATACAGACCAGAACGTGTGCATACATCCGGGATACATCAGTTATCATTGTAATGCGCAAGCCCGTAGAGGCCATTAATTACACAGTGACATCATTACAGAGATCATACGCCAAATGTTCATTTTCCATCACCTTTAGCGTCAGGTCATCTTAGAGGTGATTTCGTGGTTAGTGTATTAACTTAACGGCGAAAACTGCCACATTTCTAGCTGTGAGGTCCGCCATAGTTGATAATAATAATAATAATATCATTCGATTTCTATGGCGCATTTCCATGTAAATGCTCTAATGCGCTTTACAACACTGTGCGGGGACTTTTCCAGACTGCCGGCGGCAGTTTACAATTGATAAAGGAGAAATTTTACAGAAGCCCCCTCCCCCCATTCCCAGTAAACAGGCCAGACCACATCACAGTAATCTCGTGATATGGGTTCTTTAACTTCCCCTGTGAGTGAAACGTCTTGCTTAATGTTTATTGCCCTACCCTGTTTATTGACACAACGTCAAGCCCCAGCCAGGACTTGAACTCGAGCCATCTGACCCAGAGTCCTGCGCACTGACCACTGGACTACTCACGCCTTACGACCTAGTTGTGACATTTCCCATCAAAATAGGTAAATTAGCTGAGCATTCTTCGCATTATCCGATTCTATGAATCATGCATTGGCGTGCATCATGCAGCTACGTAATGTTTATTGCCCTACAGGTCAAAATTAGACAAAAACAGATAACAAATGTAAGCCAGGTAAATGGCAAACGTGTAAGTTTGAATTTTTGCCGATAACAGCTTTGCGTCTTTTCCACTTTAAAAATCACATTGCAAATGGTTTACTCACAAAAAAGTTAGCACTTGTGAAACATTTTCAGTTTATCTTTGTTACCCTTTTTCCTTTTTTAAACCCTTAAGTTGGATGGGATAAAAGGCATAAAATCCGTGGTTGAATACCATCTTTTTAAACAATTTTGCATTTGTTTTCTGTAAGGTTTCCTTGAGTCTGTAATGAATTCTTCAGCTACTGCTATTAACAAAATGTGAATCAGTGTCGAAGAAGTCAGAGAATTTCAAGTAGACAGTTCAACATCTAAAGTAATAACATCAAAGGTACAATTACACGGACAAGGCAAAATTCAAAAGACCTAAAGGTGATGACACATCGACTTTAAAACCTTAACCATAACTTTTCTTTTAATCTTTTTGTTTTTGTTTGGTTGTTTTTTTTTTGTTTTTGTCTTTGTGTTTATTTTTTTTTTTTAATTTTTTTGTCAAAAAACCCCTTAACTTTAAAGCGATAAAGAACATGAAATTCCAGGTCATATGCATTTTTCCAAAGCACTTTTTCGATATATTTTCTGTAGGGACTACTGAATTTGAAATTAATTTTATTAATAACAATAAGAGAAAATGAGTCCCATTAGTATCTCTTATTAAGTTCTACAAGAAAAATATTCTTGAATGAAAGTTAGAAGAATTTTTTAGGCAATTCATAATATCAAGCAAATATCAAGGAAAAAAAAAATAAAAACTCCACATTCCAAATTAGCAGTTCCTAATTGGAAATTGATTCTTAACTTAACGTTTACAAAACTATTGCCAGACTTTTTCTTCCTCTGATTATTTATTTTCCATTCACCTCTATTTCAAAATCGCCCTCTCGATCTCCACTCCACTAAAAGACCTCTAGCAGTATGAAATTTAATCTGTTTTGTCTGAAAACTGTGTAAGTGATATTCTAAACTGTAATGGGTATTTTGATAGCAGCTGAGAGGAAAGTTAAATCTTGACTTGCGTTTCTGGGCAAAATCAGTCCTCTCGAATGAGCTGTAAAATTCCCGAGAAAAGACCATAAATACAGAAATGGATGCCAAGAAGAGCGTCCACGCGAGACCTTGTGAAAAGTTCAGCAGAATTTCCGTGGCTATTTCAGTGACATCCTTGACTCTTGTGACGTTATTGTTTATGAGGATCGAACTTGTGCACATGAATTCGAAAGCTCTGGAAACAAGCCTTGAAAACCGAATCCGACGGATTGACGGTGACCTGAAAACGAACATAGAGAGGATAGTGACGAAGAAGTTAAAATTTTATGAAACTGCACTTACAACAAGGAGTAAGGAAAGATCTGATGTTATCTTTGGTAAGGCAGTGTTTACACGTACCTCTGTTCTGTTAGCTTCTTGATAGGCAACACTACGGCATTACAGCACAAAATGATTTCTTTGTCACTATGTCTTTCATTTCTAGAAACATAATACTCGCCTTTTCGCTATAATTCTACTTCCGTTGACCGTGAAATGAGACAAAGCGAAAATATATCTTAATTTATGTTACACTCCTGCCTCGGGCCATTTCAGCAGGATACTTTTAGAAAAGGTCAAACTCAACTGTCGCTTACTATCTGAACTGTTTTCTGCTTTTTCACGAGCTCAATGCGAAAGATCACGCTTAGGGTAATCAATGAGTGAATATTTTCGTTTTTGTTTCGCTTTAGTCAAGAAACCGTAGGGTAATTGAAAACATCTCCTTTAAAATTACAATAATGTAGGGTGACATGCATTCGTGCGTCAGGCCACTGAAGAATGTAGGTTGGATCAAGTGACATTTTGTTCAACCAAATCGAAGTTATAACTCCTTCTGTTTTCACTTACTGAAACGCAGCAGTATACATTCTCATTCTCTTAAACTAATGTCTCTGATCCCCGCCAATTTTTGAAACCGAAATTTTCACGAAATAGAATTCTACTCAAATATTTCTTGCGAGAAGGACTTTGAGCGCGATGCTCAATGAGCTTGCTTGAAATCTATTGGTTGAAAAGTCTCAAGGCTGAAGGCAGCTTCGGACAGCCCTAAGGTTATTTTTGCAACAAAATTTATGGAGGTAAAAGGTTGCTTTTAAGAATTTTTTTCGTTCCCTAGCTCAGACTCGATTTAATGTCGAGTTACTTCTATTTGAATCGATCTCGTTAGCTTATGTGAATATTTCTGATATTTGTATATTTCTCTTTTCTTTTCATTTTCTCAGTTCTTCCTCTTCGCTGTAAACATCGATCGATAAACGAAAACATCAATTCAACTTATTCTTTCACTCATTTATCCCATTGTAAATATTTTTCATCATAACACCTATAAGTGTTGAAAGCAAAGTAGGAAGTGTGTCATCTGTTATTCATGATCATCAAAGAGAGAGAAGAAATGTTGCTGCAGGAACAATAACTCTGCAGCAAGTCCGCCAAGAAATCGACAACAAGTTTAATCATTCCTGCAGAATCACAAGCAAGATTTGTCAAGCAGGACCTCCAGGTCCCCGAGGTGCCCACGGTTATCCAGGGTACAAAGGAGAAAAAGGAGCCGTGGGGAAAACCGGCCCACGAGGCCCTCAAGGTCCTATCGGGGCTCCAGGTTCGAGTGGCAAAAGAGGACCTGTGGGACCTCAAGGAGCCAAAGGCGACAAAGGGGATAAAGGGTCCGTTGGAGCAACCGGCATTAGAGGAGAGACTGGATCGAAGGGTCGTCAAGGACAAAAAGGATCTATTGGCTTAAAAGGAAACAGAGGCAGCAGAGGATTGGTTGGTATTCAGGGACCGAAAGGAGAATGTGTTGTTCCACCGAAGATCAGTGTGCATCCAGTGTCCCAGCAAGTCTTTGTGAACGAGCCAGCAATATTTTACTGCTGGGTTCAAGGCCAAATGTCGTCAAAGATAACATGGCGTAAGCTTGGAGGTTCTCTCTCTGGTGCTACTGTGGAGGATGGCGCACTTCAAATCAACAGCGTACAAAGGTCACATGTTGGATCGTACATGTGTACAGCTCACACTGGTCTAGGATTGTTCAGAATAATATGCAGACTGCAAGTAAAAGGTAAAATCTTCCAATTTCAAACTCTTTCTGTCTTACTTCTCCTCAGTCGCGCGATCTATTTCCATCCAGCAAGACTCGTCCCATAAGCAAGTCAATGAAACATAACAAAATTTGAACATAGTGTTAAAAACGAATTTTTACGCCAGGTCTGCGTTTTCAACCGCATTATTTTCTGGATGATTCTGAGGTCCCTTGCTTTGGACAAAGCTACGAGCCAATAATCATGATTACCCAGAGATATTATCATTTTCTCTTGTTATCACCCACGTCATGTCTTCTTAAGCCTGGACTTTTAAGAATTTGGCTAAGCTTGTTTTGAGTCTGTTGAATTGATATGGTTTTTTTTT